TTTGTCGATTTGTGTCTTTTTTATCGGTCAATAGATGGCATTTGTTGTATTGAAAATAAAAAATAAAAAATTCAAATTTTTTTCAAAATGATCAAATTTACCTGCAAGTTACCTGGATTATTAAATGTAAACGTTTTTCTTTTTTTTCGATTCAAAAATAAATAAAATGGCGCCGAAAATAAATGCATGGCCAAAAGAAAAAAAAAACAAAAATTTCGGACATCCCAATCCCAACGAAGTTGAAACGTTTTCAAACATTCTTTTGCACAAAAAAAATGTTTAAAAAAAAGTGTATCACAACCAAAAAGGTATGTGTCAATGTTAAAGGTAGAAGCTCAAACAAGAAATATATTTTATGAAGAAGTGTGTGTGTGTGTGTGTTTATGCTTGAATACACTAAACAAACGTATCATCATCGTAAGATGAAAGAAAAAAAAGGAAAGAAAAAATTTTCAAACAACACTGAAAATAATGGCAAGATAAGGCGGACGCTTCTTCTTTTCTTTTTTGGTGGTAATCATTATTATGATTCAAGATTAACAAGAAGTATAGAAAAATGAAAGATCGTATGATTTATCGTACGATCATTTACAAACTTAACAAAGTTTATAAATATGACTGCATCGTTTCAAATTTTTTTCCATTCATAGATTTGTTTTCTCTCTTATATCATCATTAAATTTTTCCAACTCTTTTTGTTTGTTTGATTTATTCTTCATTTCTTTGGTCATTTTTTTATCCTATTTTAATGTAAGTAATGATTCCTTTCCTGGATTATCCCGTTAATTTTGAATTTTAATTTTTTTCCGAATGTTTTAAATTATTTTCCTATATATAGGAATAAATCGGCCATTACAAAACGAATCGGTATATTGTTGATTAGTTTTTTGCTATTTATGGCATCATTTGCCATTAATGGCAGTGAATCAAGAAGTTTCACTATATTAGGATGTCTTGGTGATTATGATTTAAGTAAATTTGCTCAATTAGATCGTATTTGTGA